TCACACACACACACACACACACACACACACACACACACACACACACACATACACACACACACACAGGGCATGATAGTCCACACAGACACCCTGCACGAGAGCCCGCACACACACACACACACACGCACACACACGCACACACACGCACACACACACACACACACCGGCGTATGGAGACGCAGTCGACTGGTAGATGTATCGCACCCTCACCTGCGGAGGATAGAAGATCTTCGATGCGGCGTTGAAACACGACGAGTGAAGTGTCCGATGAAGGAAACACGAATGCGACGGCTCGAGATAGCGAATGACTGACTGCTATGATGCCCAACGCCCTCGGCACCCACCTATTTATACCCACTAACACTTGTCACTGTGTGTGTCTGTGCGTGAAAGCGGATGTGCCTGATGCCCAACGCCCTCGGCACCCACCTATTTATACCCCCTTACACTACAGTCAGTGCGTGTGTGTGTGTGCGTGACAGTGGGTGTGCTTGCCCGTTTGTGTGTGTGTGTGTGTGTGTATGTGATGGCAAGTGGGGGTGGAGGGGCCAGAGGGGAGTGTGTTCTCCCAAGTCCCCAGATTATACCCACTTACTTTTTTTTCTTTTTTTTTTTGGGAAACTATACCCACTTACACTACACTCGTTGTCCTTGATTGTTTTTTCTTCTAAGATATGTTTCCCAGCCATCCCGATTGCAGGTCGCGTTGTTGTTTTCTTTTTGGACCTAAGGGCGACAACCTCGAGGTATAGGGCCTCTTTCTGTGTTTTCGCTCCACTACTCTTGAATTCATAGGCCCTGCGTAAATTCGGAGTTGTGATTTGTTTCTACTTAGCTGCCTCTGGCGCGTGGGAAAATAGAGGGCCTCGGCCTTTTCGGAGGCCGAAACGAAACGGCCGCCGATCAGATTTATCAATGGCAGCCGTGGCCGGGCCCGACCTCCAAAACCTTAGAAGTTTGGGAAAACGTCCACTTTTCCCTATTTTCCCACGCACCAAAGGTATAATTAAAAAAAAAGAAAATCGAACCTGTCTTAGAACAACATTATACACCGGTGTACCAACTGAGCGAAGACGCCATTTGCCGTCCACCACTCCGAAGCCCAAACTTAAGAAGATTACCACGGGCACTGAGCCCTCGTCCCACCAGCACAGTATTATCCAAGGGAACAGAGGTGTATGGGCCTTGATGCACTACTCTCCACATGCACGAAAGACAAAAAAGAGATGGCAACGTATATTTCCGTATTCTACTACCGGTGGATTCAGTCTCATTTTGCACATTTGGAGAGTAGTTGCATGGAGGCCGTGCCACGCGCCTTTTGCATTGCATTCGAAAAATGGTTTCCACTTCAAGTTGATCGTTGGGAATTGACCCCGCACACACACTAGCCACCCCCGCCCCGCACACAGACTAGCCAACCACCCCCCCTGCACACAGACTAGCCACCCCCGTCCCACTTCACAATGCACTGGGTGGATGGGTGGATGGGTGGATGGTGGGTGACGGTTCCAGCAAAAAAAAACTTGCTGGCTCCACTTAGAAGTCCAGACGGTTGGTGGAGGGCCAGGTGTGACAGGTGTGACAGGTGTACTCCTGTCACTCGAGTCACTACGTCCCTTTCGAGGAAACTGTGGCAAGGAATTCATTCGCGGAATGTCTTCAGCAAAATTTGGCTGCCTAGCCTGCCAACAGTCAAACAGAGCGGTGCCGAGGGCCACGTGGTGGTCGGCAGACAATTCGATGGATGTGCATGTTCTATGGGCGTCGTTAGACACTCCTCGGGGATGCGAAATCCCCAAGGAATTGTTCGTTCCACTGTCACGAACCACTTTCTGTAACGCGCGATTTTCTGCGCGGTTGCAATGAGGGGCCCTAAGCTGGGAAGGTTGGGCCAATTACGGGAGATCGGGATCGGTGGAGAATTGCATCCTCGCTTTTTCGTCCTTTTTCGTCGCTTCTTTTTCGAATGGCTGGGCACGGAGCTGGGTGTGTCCTGGGACAGCTCGTTGATTGATTGGTCGGATGGATGTCTGGAGCGTTGCCGCGCGCGTGCGCACGAGTAATAAATGTTGACGTCGGTTCTTTCGGTTCGGTTTCGATCTTTTGGGCACGGACATCGCGCGGGAAATTGCTTCGTTCTTTTTGAATTTCCTTTTGATTTTTTTTTTCGAATTTTGTCGAGCCCCCGATGGCTCTCGGAATTTCGGACTTTCCTTCTGGAATTTGTGCCTTTTGCTTTTTCGCATTAGATAGGAATTTAGGAATTCAGTAATGCGGATATTTCCTGCCGCGCGGCGCCTTTTGTCTATGCGCTTCTTCATGCGGCCGCAACGGTACTCTGATTAGTGGGCGCCCTTAATCATGCGTGTAACTGTAATTTTGGACGGGCGCCATTGTAACCGTATCTTTCTTCTTGCACTCCGTCTCTCCCGCCTTCCCTCTCTTTCTTTTGCTGAAATTTTTGTAAGCCGCGGCTTGCATGCTCGGATCGATGCGTGGAGAAGGGTTGCGTCCCCCACGACGCGGCCGATCATGCAGAACGCAGGCGCTCCCTCTCTAATCCCCTCTCTAAGTCCTGGTAATTCCGTGTTCTTCGCGCATGCATGCACGCCATAAATTTCGGCTGCGCGATTAGTCAACTCTCTTAACCTGTTGTTGGAAGCTCGAGGTTGCGCGATCAGGAAGGGTCGGCACACGAGCGAAGTAAGAGGTAAGTAGAGTAGGAGTTGGGCGACCCGACGGGCTGGTGCCGAACGCGCGGGATTGACGTGGGCCACGACGGACTGTGGGCGTGGGCGAATCCGACGGGTGCGGGAGGACTAAGCGGGGTGACAACTTCGTGGGTTGGTGCGCGACGACAGACTGTCCGCATCGGAAAGCGAGAGAGGAGGAGAGAGTTGAGGTCGATGGACGTGGATTTGTTGTTTCTTTGTCTCTTCCCCCTCTTCATCTGTGTACATACATTTTGATTGCGGCTCCGGGCAGTTGCCCGTTCTTATTTTCGCTTCGGCTTTCTAAAATCTGGGCTTGGGTTTTTGCTCACACTTGTCCTTGCGATGTCCGTCCTGATCGCATTATGTGTATGATTGTCGTATATATGGATGTATGGATGTTATGACTGCTTGTCTATCTTTTTGCTGAGAACCCCTGTCCTTGCATTATGTCAGTGTCGAATCTTTGCCCGCACCTGATGTCGCTGTAGAGGGGAAAGGAATCTGGCCCCGATAAGCTTATCTTACGATGGGGTTGTGCTATGGTTGCATCTTGCATGATCGAAACTTAAGAAGCAATTAGATGATCCGAAGTCTGACCCGGCGAACGCCGCGCGAGAACACGTGTAAACGCGATCCGAGTTGCGCCCTTACACTCATCCCCGTGCGTCGATTCGCCCGCCTAAAAAAGGGATTCGTGGCGGAACCGTCATCCTGTACGAGCACGCTGAGGCGCGACTAAGTCCGCCTATTCTGTACGTGCTCGTGCGTAATGACGATAACCCGAACAGAGCTATCCCCTCGACGATGATGCCATGACGCGATACTGGAGCTCTGACTCATCCTATGACCCGGATTATTTCACCCCTTGGATAAACGAACTCATAAGGTTGCGATACCCCTGTCACACAGAGAATCGACACTGCCCGCGGGAATTCCACTGCGCCACCTCTAGCGACCCTCGGTGCTCTGACTTCCCTTCCTCCGACCACACCTACTACTTCACCCACCTGGGATTTGTTGAGATCACCACCAGTTTCCCTCCTTTCCGCCTTCTTCTCCTGTATCATCAACTCAGCGTTGTTCGGTGGCTGGCCATAGCCCCCTATTGGCCTGGTACGTTTTGCGTGAATTGCCGACGTAGCGGCGCACAGAGAACTCCGGGCCCCCGAAGGCCCAATCCAAGTACGCGGCGGCCTGCACCACGTGGTGGCCCACGATGACCTAACTTTTCGGGACCGCCTCCACCGCGGACGGATTTCCCCGTAAACCGTCGCCTACAGTGCCCCGGCCCCATCGGACCATGAGTCCCTTGCGCACGCACCTCTCATTCGCCTAATTGCATATATACCCCTAAGACTCCCCCACTTTTCCCAAAAATCCTTGGCACACCCCTTTTTCACACTTCGAGGCCCCTATCCCACTCCGATCAGGAAGTCGCGTTGGTCGTGAGGTTGGTATCACTGCCCGACACATGGCTAGGGTCTTAGGATTGATAACACGTTAATTAGGCGACCTGGCTAACCGAGGGCGACCTCGCCCTCGGAACGCGCATAGACGCGACCCTATCATCACCCGAAGCAGATCGGCTAACCGACGAGCAGCCAATATGGCTGCCAATGTGCAGAACCCGGTTCCGCAACAGAATGCTAATCCGCCAAATCAACCCGCCCCACGCGCCCGGGCTCCCATGACGCCACCCGATCTCTATTTGTTCGATCCCGCACACCACCTTGCAGGAGCATGGCTGGCCACACTTAGAGCCGAACAGTACACTGACAATGAAGCGCAGATCAACATTCCCGCCCGATTGGGGGGGGACGCTCATTATTGGTTTAGTACCTATGTATGGGTTGACCTCCCGGCCTTTGAGCGGGATTTCATGAACCGATTTGACTACGTTCACCCCGAGCAAGCGCTGTATATGATCAAGGACCGAGTGCAGAAACCTCTCGAATCCGTTGTAGAATATCGAAACCGGTTCTACAGAATGTTCGTAAGAACTGAGCGAGGTGAACAAGAAGGGAGAGACCTGTTCATTGACGGGCTTCACAGCCGAACAATCAGGGCTAAGTTGCGAAAGCAGTTTTCCCCCATCACTCACATGCTACAACAAATTATGGCTGCTGTGGAAGAAATGGAACGGAAGTTCGCGGCGAACTTCCACGAAGGGGATGACTATCCTAGAGAAGGAAATTTGACCGAACTCGCACGAGCAAGGGCTAAGTTGGCTGCCCTTCAGAACAAGTTCGAAAACATGGGATTTGTGTCAGGACCTATCACCTATATGGAACAGATAGGCCCCAAACGAGTGATCCTGAGTGAGGTTCTGAGCACGTCCGCTCCTGTGATGCCTCCACCCACAAGGGCATTACCCCCACCACCAGTTGAGGCTCCCGCACGAACGAACGAATCCGCGGCCATTTTTCGAACTAACCAAGACCTTGATTAGTTTGATCCAGGAAAGCAAAAAGGAGCAGCGAGAGTACAATGCTCGGATGGAAGCCATGATGAGGAACATGCGGCCCATTGCGGTACGCGCCCCTCCGATGCAGCAAGGATTAACCCCGGCACCTGCGCTCGGAGGAGTCGCAAATAATCTGAATGTCTGTTTGCCTATCATCAGCCAGGACATCTAGCCCGTGAGTGCCCCCACCGGCCCCCACAACAGCGGATCGGGGTCGCACCTATGGCTGCGGCTCCCATCGCCAACGGACCTGGACGAGTCGGAGCTTTGATGGAAGAAGTGGAGGGTGGGGGCAGTGCCCTGGCCACCTCGGAAGACGCTGCCGAGCTAATCCCGCTACATGAGTACGTATCGCTGGGATTTCCGGGGCTTGGAATGATCGGAGCAATCAGACCAGCTCTAGAACCGAAAGAAGTAGCGGAGTGGCGACCGTCTCTAAGAGAAATGGAGTCGGGAGGACCCACCTTCGTCACAGCAGAGATCGATGTATTAAACATCATCTGATCCTTGGACCATCGGATTCCCCTTCCGATCGGTCACCTACTCTCGATCTCCGAGCAAGCCAACGAGCGAATGATACAGCATTGCAAAGCAAACCGAAAGCGATTGGCTCTCGCCCGAACACCAAATGCAAAAGCCAAAGGCCCCGCGCCAGAAGAAAACCCAACAGGCACTCCGGGTCCGATACGGATAGGTGTAATTCAGAAAGACGATCATTTCTTATGGATTAAACCGATTCCGTGGAGATCCGCAGAATGTGATATTATAATTTGGGGAATTCCCTACAGCGCAATTATAGATTCGGGAGCAGTTGTGTTGGTGATCTCACTGAGAGTGGTCGAAAGGGCAGGTAGGAGAAACGATCTGATCATGCTCACCGAGAAAGATCAGCTCGTTCCGGTCGATGAGGAAAAGATCAAAACTGTGGGGGGAATGACGAATGTCGCCTTTCGATCAGGAAAAGTACACGCGCTTGGGGATGATGTAGTACTGGATGTCAATACGTACGATGTCCTTTTCGGATTTCCCGCTCTTGTGGCGTTACGAGCAAACCTGGACTTCGAACGACGATCGATCGTCCTCTGAAATACAGGGGGAAAACCCTACGCTGTGCCCATGCGATTGACCCTTCGCACTACTATTAATGCGGTTCCGCGGGTTTCGCTGATGATGGCAGGGACTCTCCGCATGATCTCCTGGGATGAATCCGCAGACGGAAAGTCGTCAACGAATGATGCGGACAGCAGTGACGAAGATGATCCATTGATCTTGAAATTAGCACGACAGCGCGTTTACTACCCGCCGCCCAAAACGATAGCGAGAACGATGCAACTGACCAGCCGAAAAATTCAAAGAACCAAGGCAATGATCTTGGGTGAGCCCCTCGTGCAGATCTCAAGGATGGTCGATTCTTTGGAACCCCCTCAAAATCTGTACTAAGGAATCACCCTCTCCTTGCCCGGTACAGCGACAAGAAGCATTACTGTGACATTACGAATCTACCCAAGCCCTTACTAACATCGGCTAAGAAAGTAAGATTGTTACGCTTGGGGGCGAAAGCAAGCTCTCTGGAACCCCCTGGGCGTTTCGAAGTAGAAACAGACGGACTGGGGATAAAAATCGCAACCGAGGAAGTGCCATGGCGGATGCAGACAGGAAATCACTCCCCAATTCATCGCAAACCTTATCGGTATTCCTTGATTGAACACAAAAAGACTCTCGAACGAATTCGGGAGTTCGAAGCCAGCGGCTGGATTGAACCCGCTACCGGACCTTGGTCCTTTCCCATAGTGTTAGCACCGAAGAAAAACGGGGCAATTCGCATTTGCATCGATTATCGCAAGCTGAATGAATTCACGATCAAAGATGTGTATCCCCTTCCCTGACTGATGATTTGTTGGATGCGATTGGATGCGCTAATTATTTCAGCAAGTTTGATATTCGGCATGGCTTCCATCATATTCTGGTAAGGGAAGATGATTCCGTTAGAATATTCGCAATTACCCGGTGGATTTCATCCGGCACGTACTGTGCGATGTGCAGTTCGAAAAGTTGGTCCTTGATCCGAACGTCAATCTGTTTCGTGCTTGCCTGTTTTGCCAAGTCGGGTGGAGGCGCCGAGATGAATGAATGGTCCGATCGCCAAGAGAACACTGTGGCCATCATCTGGGCATCGTCTTCCCGGATGGCCACGTGTCCTTCCAGGGTAATCCCGTCACAACCTTTGTACTATTTGAGGGCACGTGGCAGTGGGTTCGGTGTCCAATGGGGATTTGCAATGCGCCTGCCACATTTCAGCGAGCGATGAACATGACGTTCCAGAATTTCGTCAACAAGACACGGCTGATGCAAGGGATGCTTAACTTCTGCGTGATCATGTACATGGACGATATCCTGGTCTATTCGGAAACCTATCACGGGCACGCGCAAAATATCGAGTGGACGTTGGGCGCGTTGCGAGACGCTGGGTTCAAGATTGCGCTCGAGAAGAGCGAATTTTTCCTCTCGGAAATTTTGTCATTGGGCTACGTCGTGACACGTGGAGGATTGCGGCCGGACTCGAGAAAAGTTGCGGCGGTGAAGGAAGCCCCGGTTCCCACGTCACTAACGCAGGTTCGAGCCTTCTTGGGGTTGGTATCGTACTACCGGCGCTTCATCAAGGGTTTTGTCGTGATTGCACGACCACTAACGAATCTGTTACGAAAGGACCAACCTCTCAGCTGGGACGCGGAGTGCCAGCAGGCCTTTGCAACCCTCAAAGACGCTCTGGCGACGGCCCCTATTTTGATTCAGTCGGACTCCTCGAAGCAGTTCATTCTCATCACAGACTCGCAACCGGAAGCTATTTCCGCTATTCTAGCGCAGAAGGGGAACGATGGTCGAGAACACGTCATCGAGTACGCGTCGCGCACCGTACCGGACGAACGAAGGAATGACTTGACACCTCAAGGCGAATGCTACGCAGTAGTCTGGGGAATCCAACACTTCCATCTGTATCTCTACGGACAGAAGTTTCGCCTCGTGACAGACCACGAACCCTTGCTGGCGCTGAAGAAACTCACCAACTACACGGATATGATTGGCCGTTGGGCGGTGCAACTGCAAGAATACGACTTCGATATCGTCCATCGAAAGACAGAGCAACACGGAAACGCGGACGGGCTGACACGTCTGCACCGACCTGCCAAGGTACCGAAGGGCGAGGAAATTACACCGTGGAAGGAGCCGGACTAGACCAACGAGCCGAAATACGGACAAGTGGCGGTTCTTCCACGCGGCAAGAAGTAAGACTTTGGCGATGGGTGATGGAGGTAACCCCACTACCCTTCTCTCTCCCCTTTCCTCCTCGTCTCTCCTCTCCCTGCCTGACAAATTTTGCTATTTTTGCGAAGCTATCTCCCGCGTATATTCGATCCCCATGCGTCCTAACGGGGAAGGGTATATGGATTGGATGAATTGCCAACAGTGTGTCGCACGAGCCCATGGCTCGTGCATCCAATATAGGAACGATAGAAAACCGTGGTTGTGCCCCTTGTGCCGGACCCACAAGATTTCGACCGAGGCTCGCTTTTTGGATGCCACGTCAGAAGGGTTGGAAAAGACCCGGAAGTTTAGAAGGGTCGAAGTATGGAGTGATATTGCCTTAATTGCCACCCTAGTAGGTAACCCCCTCCAGGATTTCACCAAGGAAGATCGGAGGAGGGCCAATGAAAGGGCTCAGGATTATCGGTGGATAGAAGGTAGATTAGAAAAACGAAAAACGGACGGCAGTGGGATTTGGATGGTGGTACCGCATCCGTTCATGCGGTATGACTGGGTTAAGACAGCCCATGAGGAAAATGCGACCCATTTTGCCGTACGAATCACGGAGTCCGCCATCGACAAAAATGAGTGGTGTTGGTCCAATATCCGCGATGATGTGAAATACATTGTCGCCAACTGTCAAGTCTGCGCAACTGATAAAGCGCCGATTCAGCCACCAAGATCAATAGTGCTCACGGTTGTCGAACGGCCATTTCAAAGAGTGAGCATGGACACTACCGACGTAGTAGTGCCCCCTGGCCCTAATAGTTGCGAGTATTCAGTCTTATTGGTATTTGTCGACCATTTCTTGAAATGGATCGAAGCGTATCCTTGTCACACGCGGCAAGTAATAGAGATCGCGCGATATGTCAACCGTTTCCTCGGGATGCATTAGGATATGGAAGAGATCCGAACCGACAACGGGGCTGAATTCAGGGGAGAAGTGTTAAAGAATCTGGTCATACATGGCGTCGCCATACGGAACACTGCACCCCACATGTCACAATCCAATGGGCTGGTCGAAAACGCTAACCGGGTGATAAAGATAGCATTGCGATGAAACATCGCGGCACGGGATCCGAGACCCTGGCCTGATATCGTCACTCACATCCTGGCGGTCCATCGCGGAACGCCTCACGAATCGACAGGGCTAAGCCCCTTCCAATTAAGGACCAATAGTGTCGCTTGCGTTTCAATACCAAGCCTCCCAGACGAGTCTACATTGAACTGACGACCCACCAGTGTCATGGCTAGGGACAAGGCCAAACGGCACCTAGAACTAATGGAACGGTCACTGCCCAGGCTAGCCCGAAAACGACAGAAAATGACCGAACTAGTCCAAGGCCGGCAGGTCCGGAGCTACGAGGCCCGAAATGGGAATGTGGGTTCGCGACCCCAGTACAAATTGGGGGACGTGGTGCAGGTGAGGAAATGTGCTCGCCAGGGTAAGCTAGCGCCACGATTCTTCGGGCGATATCGCGTGATTGAGCTCGGCCCCAACGGCATGGACACCGTGCGTCTTGCTCCTGAAGTCTCTGACAGCCGATCGGCTCGTCCGATCACACGCCACGAATCCTATCTTCGCCTCCTCCCCTCTGCTCCGTCTCCTTCTCCCTCGATCTTTCTTTCTAAGGAAGCCGGCGACGACGACTCTGACTCCCCGCCATCTCCCTCTTCCTCTTGCTCCCTCTCTACCACCCCGTCACCCCCGCCATCGCCATGAGTTTCGCCATTGAGCGAGCTTTCAGTGATCAGTTGTTGATGCCACGGGGAGAGATTTCAGCCATCCGCCAAGTGCATCATCCGCGGATCAGCCCCGACTTTATGCGCCTTGCGCAGTTCTTCTACACTGCGGGTGTATACGGCGCGGCAAAATTCCGATTCACGAGCAATCCCCAGGTGGTGGTGCTGGCCGAGGCAACGGCGTTCCAACGACGAGCGGCCCCGGGAATCAGCCACGTGTCTACCGTGGTAGTCTTCAGTGGCGTCATCACCGTCTTCGATCCAACGCGGCAAGCCGCCATCAAAAGCACCTTGTACCGGTGGGGTCACGATCTCGCCACTGATTGGGATCGACGGCTCACAAGGCAAGGTGACGAGTGCTATCCTGTCGACGACATCGAAGTCAACACGTTGCGCACGACGCTGCGCGAGCCACCTGTCATCCTCCCAGAACTTGCTCCCTTCCAACCGTGCAAATGAGTCGCGCGCCGATCTCGACGTTCTCTCCTCCGTCTCTCTTCCCCATCTTCTGGCAGTCCTCTCACTACCCTCGTCTCTCCTTCTGCCTGGAACCGCTGACAGTACCCATCATTGATCCAGACCGTTGGAGGTTGTGGCGTGCAAAATTCATTGAGCTCTCGTTCTGCCTGCTACGAGTGGATCTGAACTAGACGTGGGAAGGCGATCAAAGGCCCGCGTCTGAGACTGTGGAGTTGCTCGTCATTCAGGCGTGGAAGACCAACGTGGCTGGGGACCTTCTGGGATTCGTCCTTGGAGCAGTAGATCGGGAAACCGATCACAAATCGTGCGCGAACTTACGATCGTGATCGCGCGACAGGCAGACGAGCTCCCCCTTGACATCGTCTCTCAGAGCGACGAAGAACCCGTGCCACATACCCTATCGAGGACCCTCGCCCCAAACCTCCAGTGATCGGCTTGTATCGAGGAGCGTTGGGCGGACGTCCGTTTTCCCTCCCGTAGCGAGTACCTAGACGTCCACAGCCTGACTAATCCCCGCTTCTTTCGGCAACCAACGACGTTCGAGTGGGCGGCGCTGAAAGCAGAAGAGGAGGCCAAAGAGGAATTGGAAGGAGAATTGAGGAGAGAGGTCGGGGAAGCAGCGGCCCGATTGGCGGAGGACGAGGAAGAAGAGCGCAAAGCTGAAGAAGAAGAAGAAGAAGAAGAAGAAGAAGAAGCAGAGGAGGAGACGTCGGAGGAAGAGGAAGAATCCTATAGTGAGTATAGCGAGGGCGAGCAAAGTGAGGAGGAGGACGAAGACGACGAAGAAGTGGAAAGCGGAGACGACCAGGCGCCAACGCATGACGACGAGCTCGAGTGGGTGCCAGGACCAGATCGACGAGAGGAGAACCCTGAGGCTCCTGCGCAGCGCACGAAAGAGATCGCGGAAGGTAAGTAGTTGGTGATCGATCGTGCACCGAACGATCCCTTCGAGGATCCCGAGCCGCCCAAGACGGAACATGGAGACCTTGCTGCCACGACCTCGAGAGCCGCGACGACAAGGCGCCGACCCCGATCCCGATCCTCGTCCTCCTCCGCCTCCGCCCGTCCCCGAATTCGTCAACGTGTCAATGAGGGGTTTAGCCCTTCGTCCCCGATCCATATACCACCATCCCCTTAGCTATCTCTCTTTCAATCAGTATTTCCATCGCGTCGTCTACCCCCGTAATCCCTTCCCCATCGCCACCTTCCGCCATTTCTACTCCGCCCGCCTAGAACTGACTGTCCACCCCCACCCTTCCGTTCGGTGTGCTGTCCCCGATTACCCCCTCCACGTTTTACTCCTTAGCGCCGCGTGGCGAGGCCGTAACCATATAGAGGTTTACTGCATTCGTTACGGGGACCTTCCCTGCATGCGAGAACCATGATCGGTTCCACACAGACGTCCGCCGGACCATCGTATCCCTTTACCCAGACTACCTCGTTTCCTTTCCCCGTAGCGGCCAGAGATTCCCCCGCTTCCATCGCATTGTCCGTTTTCAAGAACTTCCCTACGACCTCACCGTGATCGGGCGCTTCATACCCGAGCTTACGATGGAGCCGCCCCGCCCTCCCTCATATGCATATCGCCTTCCCTTCCCCCTCTCGATTAATTACTGATGCAGCGGTAATGGACGCGTGTCGTGGCGACGACACGAGAAAGATCCCGTCCTTGGATCGTCGAAGAGCCCAATCTGAGGAACTAGTAGAAGAGCAGAATTGCCACGTTGGATGACGTCCACACGCAATCGAACGGTAAGTGGCATACAGAGAAGTGCTCTTCGTGTCGATCAATTAGAGAAATCGACACGTGTCAACCAACAAGCAGGAGCTTGCTAATATTGGAACCCCCTGGGCGTCACATATGTGACGAACCACTTTCTGTAACGCGCGATTTTTTGCGTGGTTGCAATGAGGGGCCCTAAGCTGGGAAGGTTGGGCCAATTACGGGAGATCGGGATCGGTGGAGAATTGCATCAGTGTCCTCACTTTTTCGTCATTTTTCGTCGCTTCTTTTTCGAATGGCTGGGCACGGAGCTGGGTGTGTCCTGGGACGGCCGGTTGATTGATTGGTAGGATGGCTGTCTGGCGCGTCACCGCACGCGCGCACGCGAGTAATAAATGTTGACGTCGGTTTTTTCAGACAGGCTTCGATCTTTTGAGGGCGGATATCGCGCGGGAAATTGCTTCGTTCTTTTTGAATTTCCTTTTAAATTTTTTTTTCGAATTTTGTCGAGCCCCCAATGACTCTCGGAATTTCGGACTTTCCTTCTGGAATTTGTGCTCTTTGCTTTTGCCCATTAGATAAGAATTTATGAATTCAGTAATGCGGATTTTTCCTGCCACGCGGCGCCTTTTGTCTACGCGCCAGATTCCCGACTCGAGCCAGTTCACTAGGTCGTGGACGAGGAAGAAGGACGATGGGCCTCGGTCCTTGGTATGCTAGAAATTGAACTGCTTTGTATCCTTTGTATCCACTCACCAAACTCCGTAGGGGAAACAAGGGAGTTCGTAGGAAAAATAGGAACACAAATCCCGGAAGGTATCCCTCTAGTGATAGCCGGTGATTTTAACGCCACCCCTGACAGGTGGCTAGACAGATGGAACCCCCAGGACTTCCCCTCCTTCGCTGCGGCGCAAGATGAACAAATGCTTGCCGACCTCGGCGCGTCCCTTTCGATCTTCGATACCTTCCGCCGCCTGCATCCCCGAGAACGGGCCTTCACATGCATACGTGACAGCGACCCGGCACGACTATCGAAATCTCGCATTGACCTAATCTTTCTCTCCGACGACCTTAAAGCAGCACTACGTTGAGCTCTAATCCTCCCACGTAGTCCCCACCCGGGGATGGACCATAAAACCTGTGGCATCATTCTAACAATGAGAAAGCGACCTGATCAAGGACCCGGCTTTTTCAAATTAAATACCTCCTTGCTCAAGGACTCCTCCTTCGTACATATGATTCGCTCAGAATGGGAATTCTGGCGTCATCAAAAACACCTTTTTGACTCTCGTATCGTGTGGTTTAACAATGGTCTGATTTTTTTAGCAAAAAATGTAAGGATTTTGCCAAAGCCAAAGCTGCTCTAAGACAACAGCAGGAAATGACAACACACAACCAACTCATATCGCTAGAACGACAGACAGACTCACAACACCCTAACCCTTCTCCTCAGGAATGGCAACAACTCACTGCCTCCATTCAAAAAGCCAAAGACCAATTGCTGCAATACGCTCTACATAGATGACAAGGAATTAGGATCAGAGGTAAAATGTCCAAACTAGCTCACGACGCCTCAATGGACACTTATTTCTTCTCTATAGCTACCGTGCGTTCACGTAGGACGGTTATTAAGGCCTTTTACAACCTGAACGATAACAACCTCATTGCTACTGACACAACACAATGTACACTGATCACCAGGACATTCTTTAAACAATTATACACATCCCATATCCCATCCCCTCAGGGGGAAGAACGAATCAGAGAAATACAAAATTTCCTAAGGCCAATGGATCGTCGCTTATCCGCCTGCCAGCGCGAGAGGCTGGAGAGGGAGCTAACGAAAGAAGAAGTGTGGGCAACACTTCTCCAAATGAGGGAGGAGAAAACTTCGGGCATAGATGGTTTTCCCAAAGAATTCTGGGAAGCCACATGGACGGATCTGAGCATTGATTTGTGGGATTATTATAAGGAAGTCTGGGAAACCAGCGAATTGGGGGAGACCGTAGCGAAAGGTATACTATCCCTTCTGTATAAGAAAGGTGACAAAATAAAAATCAAGAATTACAGACCTGTCACGTTGCTCTCTATGGCTTATAAAATGCTTTCTAAAGCACTGACCAATCGCATGGCGACAGTTTTGGAGGACGTCATACACCCGGCACAAACCGGATTTATGTCAGACAGGAACATACAAGAAAACATCGTGCTAGTTAACGACGTGGTGCAGCTAGCACGACGACACCGGGCCAATGCGGCCATTACCTTCAAAGACTTTGAGAAAGCCTATGACCACGTTGACTGGGATTTCCTATTCGGTCCTGTCTTCCGGCAATGGATTAAGATTTTTCATACTCAGGCCACTACCTGTGTTCATGTCAATGGGTCAGTCGCCCCTCCGTTTGAACTTCAGCGTTCGGTAAGGCCAGAAGACCCGATTGCCCCCTTCCTCTTTTTAGTGATAATGGAGGCACTGTCAGCTAATCTTCGCCATCACAAGGACCTTACCCGAATCAAGATATCCTACATCCCCGAAGAAGCAATCCCTATCTGCTCCCTTGTCGCAGATGACCTCACCATAATGGTTGAGGCAATAGAATCCAACATGATCGAAATCCAATTGCTCATGAGCAAGTTTTGCCTGCTATCGGATATGTCTGTGAATTGGGGACAAAAGACGACTGGATGGTGGATGCACCATCAAGGAGGCAGACCCCCAGAAATGTCGCGGATCACATGGCGTTCCCATGAGGACCCGCTAAGAATCCAAGGAGCACTCGTCACCACAAACGGAAAACCACCATTTAATGACGAATGGTTTGCTGGACCAGCACAGACCAAACTGGAGAAATGGAACAACAAACGCACCTCCATCTTTGGGCGAGCGCTGGTGATAAATAATGTAGTCCTAGCCACCCTATGGTATAAAGCCCTTCTATGGCCCCTGAGTGTAGGGGGGATCAAGGCATTGAAACAATAGCTGGCGGCTTTTCTCTGGAGAGGAGATAGCAACAAGTCCTACGCCATAAGTCGAGTGGCATGGGAGTCAGTGATTCAGCCCAAGGTCGGGGGAGGACTGGGCATTGTGGATCCGACCACACAATTCCAAACCCTTATGCTTCGCTGGCTCCAACGCATTATTTTCTCTACATCCTCCCCTGGGTCCCCTTGGCTCTAGCACAAATTTCTGATCTGGCCCCGGAATCCCCACCTGAGATCGATCCGAGAGTTTGGCTAGAGGACAGATATTGGAGGTTGCCAAAAAAGTATAGGAATGGGGACCCTTCTGATAAACAATGGGTGCGCCTCATACGCACTTGGAGGAAACTTCCCCCCCCACTTCGATCAACACCAGAGAGGTGGGAAAAGATATTTAGGCAACCCCTGTTTGGTAACCACCTAATAACAGATTCCGGAGGGCGCGTGCGGAACAACTCGGAGGCCCCATGGAAGGGATGGGTAAAACATGGGGCCCAGAGGGTCGGGGATCTTTGGGATCGGGAGGCCGGCAACTGGAAGAGCATAGGAAGGATGCGTACATGGCAGCGGTACTGCCATTTCACTGAGAAAGCCCTCAACGATCTCATCGAGAGCTTCCCTCTCCATTGGTTCACCATCCTCAGGAAAGGTCCATGTTTTAAGGAAGGGGACTGGGTGGGGTTACCCGATCATGAGAAAGAAGTGGGGTGTGTGCACCTTACAGGTCCTAAAGATGCACTAATAGAAGTCTTCTCTATCCAAAAAGAGGGTAGACTGGAATGGAATCAACAACCCTTTATATGGAAGGACCAAAAGAAGATATATGGTATCAGGGTGCTTGAGGAGGATAGCTGTCCGAAGGTGTATTGCCCTATGATACCAATTGAGGATCTCCCCTTAGATCCGACAGAATGACGATGGACCCAAAGTAACCCGGCCGGTAAAGGAGGGGACAACCTACTGACACTATACAATCTAAAAACTAAATCAGCCTACCGAATGATCAGACCCAAACGTAGATTGAGGGACCGTGTGGAGGACAGATGGTATCGCCATCTTAACATTGATCGTAGTCTGCTTAAACCCATTCGATGGTTCGCTCACCATAGATGCAGACCCGCCAAAATCTCGGCCCTCCAATGGCAAATCGAACATCGGTGCCTACCAACCAATGATTGGATGATAGACCACACACATTTGGAACAACAAGGGAAAACACTCCCATGGTGTCACAAATGCTGTCAGAGCTTCCCTGGGACGAAGCGGGCGGAGACCATAGAACATATTTTTCTCCAATCCCCTGCGTCTGTGCTAATGTGGAGAAGCTGGGATAGAATTTGGCACCACATTGTCCCCAGCGAGACGTGGCCATGGGATTGGAGGGCCATACTCCTCGGACACTACCCCCCAATCCGGGGAAACACATTTGGAGAAAATATGTTTAGACTGGGCAGGCGGAGTGTCTGATGGACCATATGGTGGAGGCGATGCATCTTGGAGATAGAGGGGGCGCAGGTGGAGGATGGAAAAGCCATGGAACAAGTACGGACATTGGTCCAATTTGAAATTGAAACACGATGAACTGCCATTTCGTCAAAATGGACATCTTTTATTTTTTGAACGAAATTGAAACCGAGTTTTTTGGCCGAAAACTCGTCAAAATTTGTTGTTCCTGAGGGTCCGGCGTTTGTAAAACGCTGGACCCCCTGGCTGTACATGGACCTAGCTTGAGACCAGGTACCTCCACGCAGTCCTGTCTGGAGGTGCCTGGTCTTTAGCTAGGTCCATGTACAGCCAGGGGGTCCAGACCCTTAGGAACAAAAAAATTTGACGAGTTTTCGGCCAAAAAACTCAGTTTCAATTTCATTCAAAAAATAAAAAATGTCCATTTTGACGAAATGGTCGTTAATGGAAGGCATTCAAAGACAAGCTCGACCAGTCATATACTTGGGGGGACATGAACAAGACCATCTCCCATTTTAGTAAAGACTGGCTGGGGGGGGCTAGGGAAGGCTGGGTTGCAGAGATAAAGTGGTCCGGGTTCAACCAGAGGGAAGAACCCCAGGAGGGAATGGCAAGGGACTACCGGCTGATTTTTCATGATTGGACCAAAATCGATCCGGCCGTCCCTTTACGGCCAGCCCAGGACTTCGCAGATCACTTCCCCCCCCCCCCCGTTGTCTTTAGTGGAAGCACTGCCAACGGCATGACCTGAGACGACAGGACGACAGTACACAAGGTTCAGAAGGTTTGGAAGTTTCAGGCAGGTTCTGGAAGGTTTAGAAGGTTCAGAAGGCTAAGAAGGTTCAGAAAAGTCCAGAAAGTTCAGAAAGGTTCAGAAAGTTTCAGACAGAAAGGATCAGAAAGGAATCAGATAGGATCAGAAAGGATCAGAAAGGCCCAGAAACTGTCAGAAAGGTTCAGATAGGTTCAGAAAAAGTCAGAAGTATCCAGATTCAGAATAGGTTCAGAATAGGTTCTGAATAGATTTAGAGTGGCTCAGCAATGCTCAGAAGGATAAGAAGGATAAGTAGGGCTCAGTAGCATGGGATAGCACGATAGCATGTCCAGAAAGATGGGCTGAGGAACCTAATGGAACTGCTGGTGCCCCCCAGCAGCCCTGCTGGGCCTCGCTGGGACGCTGGAACCGTTTTCCAGCCGGAAGGTGGACTAGGGAACCGGCAGGGACCACTGGTGCCCCCCAGTGACCCTACTGGGCCCTAGGCCAAGGGGCTTGTTTTGAGGGATATAGGATACAAAGCAATACGACGCTGGACCCGGTTTCCAGCAAGCTATCGCACGATATCTCATGTTCTTCATGTTCTTCTTTTCAAATGTAAGGGACGCTGGACCCGGTTTCCAGCAGGTGATGCTCCCCACCAATAGATGGAGCCTGCCTGGGGGTGCTAGCGGTGTCTGTTCATATCAGCACCCCTAGCACCACCCAAGGTGAATTTTGAAAAGAAAAAAAAAAAACTCCTCGGGCATTAGGAATTTCCCCAGCCCTTGGGCACAAGGAATCCGCGTTTCAGGGAGAGGAGGGGGCACACGGGTAGATCTACGTTACAGCCAAGAATCAGGCTGTCCCCTGGCTGGTGTCCCCCATTGGGGGTTCCCTGAAGGCAATCAAGGCCACCCTGGGCTGAAAAGGCCACCCGATGTCAG